CGTGGACAGGCCACGGTCTGTGTGTTTCATGCATTGCTGTGGGTGACCCATTGCGTGGACAGGCCACGGTCTGTGTGTTTCATAAATCGTTTTCTTGTTATTGTTAAGCTCTTTATAACTTTAGAAATTCGTCTGTAGATTAATTTGGATTTTGTGTGTACATAGTCATTTTACCTGCAAACAGATTTTTCTTTTCAACTTCCCGTTCTTTACTGTTTTTTTCCTTACCGTATCTCATATTCTGGCACGGATCTCCCGTCTGAGGCTGAATAAAAACAGTGATGCCATCCACTTTCCTCTTGCTCCCTGTCGCAAAGGAAAGCTGTCAGCATTTTACTCTCAAGTGTAATTGACGTTTGTTGTAGGTTTTTATACATCTTTATTGATTAAGGAAGTTTCTATTCACTAAGAATTTTAGTCACGAATGTCTGTATATTTTTATCAGATATTTTTCTCCATCTGTGCAGATGATGTTTCCATCTTTCATTCTTTGAGTTAATTACCTTTGGTTCTTCTTAATGACTGTCCCAACAGGCAGCTTGGCTGTGCTGTCACTCACTTCGTGTCACCACCGTGATTGGCAGCACTTGGGTCTCGGGCGTTTGCGTCTGCGCTTGTGAGGAAGACGAGGTTTAATTTTCCTTTCGTGTGTGTCCTCAGGATGTGGTAAAAGTGATGCTGGCCTTTTAGTCAGTTAGAAAGTGTTCCTTTCTGACCATTCTTAGGGGGAATTTATATAAGATTGGTGGTTATTTTATCCTTGAAAGTTTGGAAGAGCTCCCTGGTGAAGCCGTCTGAGCCCAGAGCTTCTGTCGGGGAAGGTTTTAAAGTATGGCTCCAGTGTATTTCACGTTACAGAGTTCTTCAGAGCTTCTGTTTCTTCTTGTGACAGTTTTTCGGATGTATCGTCATGAAGTTGTTCTCAATGTCCTTGTATTGCCTTTTAATGGCTGTGGGATCTGTAGACAGCCCTGCCATTCCTCTCTCGCTCTCCCGATCAGCCTCCCTGGGACAGATCAATTCCATCAACCTCTCAAATTCCATCCGCCTCTCAAAGCATCCCTGTGCTTTCCAGGCTGCCTGCAGCCCCTCTGCCTAGCTGTTGTCCCTGAGGAGACGGCCTCCTCCTAGAATGCCTTGAATTCTAAGGTGCAGCCCTTCGGGGACCCAGCCTGAAAGAGAGCGGAGCTCTTGGTAGGCCCTGAACGCAGTTTTCTGAGCCCAGCCTGCAGCACCATCTGGAGCACCACGTGGCCCTCAGCTGCCTGGGTGCCTGACGGCCAGGCTCGCGTCCTGGCTGCATGCTGTCTTCCAGATCTTGGCCCAGTCATTCTTTGGACATTGATTAACTCCTAGTTCTTAGATTTTTGCAACAGGGTCATCCAGCTTTCCTAATGTCCCACTCAAGAGTAATTGTTTTAACAAGCCGAGTCCAACATCATGGGAAGCATTAGCTCTTCTGCATATATTAAGTTTTTAAGTGGTTGTGTGTACACAAAGAAATCCTATTTCTAATGAGTCAGTAGTTTTTAGTAGAAAAGGGAAACAAACACATAGTGTGAATAAATACATGAACGAGTATGTTTCTTATGAGGATCTTCATAGTTGGGTGCTGATGTTCACAGAAATTATCACGTGATAAAATGAAACCTGTGAGTGGAGGAGGGAGGGAAGGTAGCACAGCCCCCGTCCGTCCCACAGACCCGCTCTGAGCACCTGCTGTGTGCACGCCCGGCGCAGGGAGGGAGGGAGTTTTCTGAGGAAAGACCCTATGCTCATGGTCTGCACCTGCTCCCCTGACCTACGTGTGTCTTGTGTCCATGTAGACGTACAGTCTGTATTTCCTGGACCACCTGGTCAAGGCCCTGCAGAAGATGTGCCTGCATGAGCTCACGGTCCCCATCCTGCAGCTGGGGGTGCTGATTTCGGAGTCCGTGGTGGGAAGCAAGGGCCTGGCGGATCTCTACCGCCTCCGGTGGGTACGGCTCCTTTCTCTTCCAGAGTGCAATTTCTCCAAAGCAATACGAAAATGAACAACATGTTAAAATATTAGTTATGTAGTTGTCTGTGCAAATAATAAGGTCCCTGGAACTTGGACACCAAGTAAATAAAAATATTTGTCTATAAAAACGGTATTTTTGGTTGGGACGGGAGGACTGTTTGATCCCAGGGGTTTGAGACCAGCCTGGACAATATAGCAAGACATAATTTCTACAAAAAATTTAAAAAATATATTAGCCAGGTATGGTGACACACCCGTTGTCCCAGCTACTCAGGAGGCTGAGGCAAGAGGGTCACCTGAGCTGAAGAAGTGGAGGCTGCAGTGAGCTCTGACTGTGCCGCACTCCAGCCTGGGCAACACAGCAGGACCCTGTTGCTAACCATTTTTTAAATAAAATATGATATTTTTATTTTAAAATTTATCCCTGATCCTTAAGAGAACATTCTTGTTTTAAAGGTGTATCTTGGAGATACTGCAGGTTGGGTTCCAACACAAAGCAAGTATCACAATAAGGCACGTCACATGAATTTTCTGGTTTTCCAGTGTATATAACAGTTGTGTTTACACTATTCTGTAGTCTGTCAAGTGTGCAATAGCATTATGTCTAAAAAATGTACGTATATTCATTTAAAATGTATGTACTAAAAATACAAAAAAGGCTAGCAGTTTCTTAAAATAAGACAACAATAAAATTTGCCACATTGGTCAACTCTTTCACAAAAGATTTCTCTGTCACAGGCAATGCTGTTTGACAGAATTTCACCCACGGTAGAAGTTCTTTCACAATTGCAGTCAGTCTCTTAGATGCTGCTGCCACTTTATCAGCTCAACCCATGGAATATTCTAGGTCCTTTGTTGTCATTTCCACGGTGTTCACAGCATCGTCACCAGGAGCAGATCCCATCCCAAGAAACCGCTTTCTCTGCTCATCCGTAGGAGGCAATCAGGTTTTCCCTTGAGATGGCAGCAGTGTAGTCCCGTCTTCAGGCCCCACTTCTGATTCTAGTCCTCTTGCTGCTTCCCCCACGTCTGCAGCTCCTTCTATGGAAATCCTGAACCCTTCAAAGTCATCCACAAGGGCTGGAATCAACTTATTCCAAATTCCTGTTAATGTTGCTATTTTGGCCTCCTCCCATGAATCAGGAATGTTTTTAATGGGATCTAGAATGGTGAACCCTTTCCAGAAGGTTTTCAATTCACTTTGCCCAGATCCATCAGAAAAATCACTCTTGGTGGCCGCTATAACTTTATTGAATGTGCTTCTTAAATAGTAAGACTTAAAAAGTTGAAATGATGCCTTGGTCCAGGCTGCAGAATGGATGTGGTGTTGGCAGGTGTGGAGACAGCATTCACCTCCTTGTGCATCTCCGTGAGATCTCTTGGGTGGCCAGAGCATTGCCACTGAGCGGTACTGTTCTGAAAGGAATCTGTGTTTCTGAGCCGCAGGTCTCAACAGTGGGCTTTAAGTATTCAGCAAATCATGCTGTCAACAGATGTGCTGTCACCCAGGCTTTGCTGTTCCACTTACAGAGCATGGGCAGAGTCGATTTAGCCTCATTCTTAAAGGCCCTAGGATTTTCAGAATGGTGAGTGAGGACTGGCTTCAGCTGAGAGTTCCCAGCTGTGCTGGCCCCTAACAAGAGAGTCAGCCTCTGCTTGGAAGCTTTGAAGCCAGGCAATGACTTCTCTCCAGTCATGGAAGCCCTGGCCGGCATCTTCTTCCAGTAGAAGGCTGTATGGTCTGCAGTGAAAGACTGCTGATTAGCATAGCCCCCGTCAGTGTCTGATGAGCTGGATCTGCCGGCCAACTTGCTTCAGCCTCTCCATCAGCCCTTGCTGCTCCACCTGGCACTTTTACGTTGTGGAGACAGCTCTGTCCTGAAACCTCACGAGCCCACCTCTGCCAGCTCCAGACTTTTCTTCTGCAACATCCTCACATCTCTCAGCCTTCATCAGATTGAATAGAATGAAGGCCTCGCTCTGGATTAGGCTTCAACTTAAAGGAATTTTGTGACTGGTTTGATCTTCCGCGCAGACCATCGAAACTGCTTCGTATCAGCAGCGAGGCTCCTTCGCTTTCTTATCGTTTGTATCCATGTGTTCTCTGAAGGAGCACTTCTAATTTCTTTGCAGAACCTTCCCTTTGCACTTACAACTTGGTTAACTGTTGGGGGCCTAGCTTTCAGTCTGTCTCCACTTTTGACACCCTTCCCTCACTAAACTTAATCATTTTGGCTTTTTATTTGAAGTGAGAGGCGTGCGACTGTTCCTTTCTCTTGAACACTTAGAGGCCATTGTAAGGTTATTCACTGGCCTCATTTCAAAATGTCTGTGTCTTGGGGAATAGGGAGACCCGACGGGAGGGAGGGCGATGGGGGAGCGCTGAGCAGTGGGCATTTATCAACCAGGTTCACCGTCTTACATGGGCATGGTTTATGGTGCCGCAAAACAGTTACAGTGGTAACCTCAGAGACCACTGAACACAGATCGCCGTAACCCAATAATAAGAATGACAGCGTTTGAAATATTTCAAGAATTGCCAGAATGTGACATGGAGATACCAGGTGGGCATGGGCTGTTGGAAAATGGTGCTGATGGGCTCGGCCGACGGGCTTGCCCCAGACTTTCAGTCGTGAAATAAGCAGTGTCTGAGAGTGTGTTAAATGGAGGCGTGCCCGGGCCAGGGAAGGATCTGGGGAAGGGTGCGCAGATACGCCAGGGCAGGGCGAGGGAGAGGGAGCCGGAGCAGCTGTGGCTGCAAGGCGCCTCCTGGTGTCTGTACAGCCTTCCCGCTTACCTGAAAGCATTTTACAAGAACGGGGCTTTCGACAGGAGTGGAGGCTTCTCCGCTTACGGTGGGTGCTGAGCCTACCTGAGGACGGCACCCAGTCGCCGGCGGCGACTCCACACGAGAGCTGTGGAGGAGCGGGGAGAATCCTGCCTGAAATGTGATGGAGCTGCCTGGCACTTTTCCCTAGTAATTTTACTGACCTTCAAACATTATTGAAAATACCTGCAAAGTCCGCCTTGATGTTTCAGTTGACTATTGAGCACACTAAGCCCAGTAGCTTCTGTCTCTGGCTCCCTCTGCCCCTGCGCAGAGCTGACTCTGTGGCCGCCCTCCCCACAGCCTCGCCCACGTGTGCTCCGAGCTGAAGCTGAGGGAGGCAGCGGTGCAGCATGAAGAGGCGGTCGGGCAGGTGCACATCAGCGAGCTGGAGCAGGCCAGGTGCGTGCAGGCCCACCCGTGCCACCTGGGGTTCCGAGCTCACGCTTGGTGTGGTGCCCGGCCTGGTGCAAGCCACCATGAGGACAACCAGCGGCCACCCTCTGCCCTGGACTCCTGCCCCTCCGGGAAGGGCATGTCTCGGGGGCGGTGCCCGGGGAGAGGGAGCGCTCGGGGAGTCAGCTGTGGCTGGTTCTCCTGGGTCGAGCTGGAGGTGGGCTGTGGGGAGGTGCTCCTCATGGAGGCAAGGAGGGGCGGTGAGGGGAGCTCCCCAGGCTGGCCCAGCCCCTCCCAGGACCACAGAAAGGCGGGGCACGGGCCCTGGACCCTTGGGCACTGGGTGCTGGGCAGTGCTAGGTCAGGCCTCTGGTGGCTCTGACAGCCTTCAGGCATGAGTTCACTTCAGAGTTGCTGCAATTGACCAACATCAGGCTGTTTAACAACCAACTCTCGTGACTATAGCAAATCACTTTTAGATTTAGAGACCATCTCAGAAACACATCTGTGCTGTGATTATATATGGTTCCATTTTGTTCGCTTTTACAAGATACTTTTAAATTACATACGTGATACATGTTACAGTGAAAATCTTAGAACACGTAGGTAGATAGAAGAAAGAGGAAGACAGACGTCATACCGGCCGCGTCACCCAGCGTGACCCTGTTCATATTTCCACATACGCTCTTCCGGCCACTCCGCACTGCATAGAAACAGACGCTGTCACTGTGGACGTGGAATTGAGCTCCCTCTGCTCTGGCTAACCGGCCTTGGTGACCAACGCTGGCCTGCGATGTGAACTTCACACTTGTCAGTGCCATGGGCTATTTGTCCGGCCCTCGGCTGGACATTGGACCTGTGCCCACACTCTCCTGGTCTGAGTGACGTGGGGTCTTTGGCCCGGTTGTCCGCACAGCCCTAAAATCAGCTTGGAGAAGTGGAGCTCCTGGGGCCGTGGAGTCCCCGTTCCCTCCTGTGCATTTTTTTACCAGCTGCGGAGGGCGGCAGACGCAGAGGCTAGAGCAGCGTGGGGAGGCCAGTGTGGTGGGCTATGCTGGGAGCAGTGACATCTTGGCAGCAAGGGGGCCTCCACCTGGAACCCACGTGGCTGCGGAGGCCTGGTCAGGGGTGTGCAGGCCTCGGGAGATGGCTGGAGGACTCAGAGGCCCTGGGGCTGGGGCCTGTCAGGGTCTTGACCCCTCCTGGCCTGTCTTCTAAAGGACCTCTCTGGACGTGGTGTGGCAAGTGGCCAGGGCCTGGGGTTCGTGGCACAGGAGAAGGTGGGACAGTCGGGCTGTGGCCGGGGCCAGGTGGAGGGTGAAGGAGAAGGCAGCAGGCACCTTGAAGACCCCGCAGGAAGGCCAAGCAGAGGAGCAGGAGCCCCCCAGGGACAGCAGTTGCTGCCGAGCTTTCAGACGGGGGCACCCGCAGGAGGCACGGGGCGGGGGAGCAGGGCTGGGGGACAGGGCTGGGCACGCTGCTCTGGAGAGATGGAGCCCCAGATGCTCATGAAACGCCTGCCAGACTTTCAGACAGCAGCTGGGCCTGAGTTCGGAGTTTGGAAGAGAGAAACCAGTGACGGACTTCAAATGAAGTCAGACTTCATCTTACTCCACGCACCCTGATATGGGTGCGTGGAGTCAGATGTGCCGTTAGATCCTGAGGATTTTAAAAAAATCTCTGTAAACATTCAGATGAAGGTGTAATTGTCACTGTTTTCGTTTGCGTTTCTTTGATTACTGGCGAAGTGACATTTTCGTGGCCATATGGCTTTTCTTTTGCATATCGTCTGCTTTACTCACGTTAGCTGCAGAAAAGAGATCGCACTGAAAAGAGAGAAAAACAAGGAGCCCTTGTTAGAAGAAAGCCTGCCAGCACTCAACCAGCAGACACTTGCCGCCCACTCTGTAGAGATCAAACCACTGGAAGCCAAGGACAAGGTAACCTCACCGTCCAGAATCCTGAGCGGCTGGACCCCGTGGCTCGTGGCTGTGCAGGCCGCAGCTGAGCCAGGAGGCAGCCCATGTGTCAGTGTGCCAGGGGCTTCCTGCACGGTTTCTCTCCCGTGAGCCCTGGAATTCCCCTGGGAAAGACGAGCTTATGTGCACCACAGGCCTCCCTGGAACAGGCCTGCCAGGCACCTGAGCAGAGGCAGTGAGAAGGTGGGGGAGGCGAAGAGAGGTCTCTGGCCGGAGGTCCCCATCGCCTGACAGAACGGTTCTCCTGTCTGTGCCACCCGGGCTTCCCACCCCTCAGTGGCAGAGCGCAGCACCCTTCTGGGTTTGCCCGTGAAGGAAGGTGACCAGCCCGGCTCCTAACCCTAAACACAGTTACCATGGGAGCGCCGCTGAGGAGCAAAGGCCATGCTTCCTGTGACCTGGCAGGCAGGACGGGGGCTCAGCACAGGACCTGCATCCACAGCACAGCAGAGCGGGCTTAGCCACCACCCCGGGCCTCGAGGGGGGCCTCTGACTAGCGAGGAGGGGGCAAGGGGGTGTGGGGCAGACCGAGATCCCAGGGCAGGGACTCAGCCACCGGCCCATGCTGTGGGGGCGGCTCTGCCTAGTGAGGCG